AGCAATGCATTCTATGCCAAACTTTGCGGTTCTTAAAGGGGAATCAAGACACGAGTCGAGCGCCAAACAACAACAAGCAGCCATGTTCGTGTCAGACATCCTTGAGAAACTTGCTCTTTCACCTCGTTCAGCGCATCAGTCCCCAAAATCAACAAATCTTTACTTATTTTGTACAACGAAGGTCTTTCCTAAGTTCCTGCTACCATTTCAATCTCAAGCAAGCTTTCAAAGTGAACAATTTGGTTCCTATGACTATGCAGCACGGTCGCTGTCACTGGTCGCGTGCTCTTTCACAAGTCAGCGGTCGCGCATGCTCATGCAAAAAAGACCCCTGTTGTGCTAATCTTGTATTTTATCTTCTACTGCGAGGCATATCATCAATGCAATGGACTTGCACGTGCTGCATACTTTTGCAGTTGGCCGACGGCATTCTAATGAATTCATTATAGTTGATGCCTAGGCAGAATAAAAGCAAAGTTCGAAACCTCTGTATATTTGGGTTGGTTTTCGGAAAACAAAACAAGCTCAAGAAAAGACAAAGACAAAGAAATAGCCTCACTGGAGCAAGAAGCCGTTTTATATCTTTCAAGCATATTTTCACAAAATGCAATATTTTATAAATAAATCAGTTTTATTCTTCGCTGTGGCTTTATGGCCGGTAACCGGTCAAGATTTACAAAACATGTAATTTGTGATTACACCGTATTATCATAAATTACTATTTTGCCGGCACGTATCAGAGGTCTGGGGAGGGTGTTAGTGCGCAGTGAGTCATGGGATTCGAGTTTTGTAATTCGTGGTCGTTAGGAAGGTGAGGCATTCTACGGTCAGCCTTCACCGTGTTAGGTTGCGTTTCTCTCTTTTATTTTATTCGTGTGTTTATTCGTGTGTTTATAGTTTAGGCACTAGCATACCCTAAAACCCCAAGGGTTGCACCACTGCCTTGGTCGGGGGTACACGTCCCCCGTGTTTTTTCCACCTGCTGGTTTTTTGGGGTTTTCGTGTCCGGCTTTGGTGCTTCTGTTCTTTTGTTTATAGATATTACTTGATATTTGTACATATCTGCATATATGTTGAATAAACGGCACGGTGGCTTGGCTGGCCCACGCGCCCATATATGAACATCGTTGTTTTGTGTGTACCGGTTGAGTAGTGGAGGCAAAATAGAAAATGACCGGCAGTCCGATATTTTGACTATAGTGATTAGGGTTAAGCACTGACGATACTGATTAGGGTTAAGCACCGAAAATACTAGTTAGGGTTAAGCACTAACCATACTTATAAGGGTTAAGCCCTGAGAATAGTGATTAAGGTTAACGGTTAGCTTCTATTTTGGTTGGAGGTTTTCGCCATAATATTTGAATAAAATCACTATCTTGCAGCGAAACCACGGTGGTTTAGTGGTTAGAGTATGGTAGTATGCAGACGAGGGATCGAATTCGCTCATATTCGACTGAATTTTTTTTCTTTTAAAATTGAAGAGACGTACACTTTGATCAGAAACTAAGTTTGTCAGTCTATTCTAAATCGACGTATGATAGTTTGGTCTGGCTGGGATTCTTCGATTTGTCAAAATTTAAAAAAAATGTCGGGCTTGCCGGTCATTTAGTGTCTTGAGAAACTTGACCGGTTACCGGCCATATAGCCACGGCCTTTATTGTCTTGAATTTTTCCAAGAAAAGTTCCTTCTATGGGCGTAAGAGGGAATCACACAAGCAGCATTAGAACTACGAGCCCGAAATCTATGTGTCATATTTATCAATAATTGAACATAACTGCCCTCCAAAATTGTTAAAATTGGCGTTTGATTCGTGACATGGTTACTAGGCCAAGTTAATGTTGTGTTTTCATTGTCGTTTCTCGAACCTATCTTATAGCGCAGATCACAGTGAACAAATTTCCTTAAACTTTTTGGCAAATGAAATAAACACAGCCTTAAACTCGAGAATTTTAAGTTTCATGGAAATCGCTCGATTTTTGTGCAAACAGAAAGACAAATTGCAAAACACTATGTAGTTAGAAAATTTGCTCTTATCGCCAAATCAAAACTTCAAAGTAAATTTCAGATTGAACTTATACATATTAAAATCGGGAATTATCCGGCCACTTCTGACGCGATGCGAGCATGTTAGAAAAATGCTTGAATTGGCTCATAATTAAGTTGGCGTCACCTCAAATGTGCCTAAAAGGAAGATAATTTCCAAATTTAGGTCAACACAAAGATTTTGGATAGTCCTCTTAGCCTCATGTTACCTTAATTCTACTAATTAATTCACACTTAATTTTCCATTTCTTCACTGTTCTGTGCCTACGGCAGCATTTCTACCCTTTAGTTATACTAGTAATAATAATGAATCTTTGGGAGAAGGGAATTTCACTTCGAGTCAGGGAGAAGTTAAAATTTTGAAAGAAATCAGGGAAAAGTGAAATGTTAAGAGTACATATTTATTCTTTTCCCTCTACTTTTACTGTTTTCTAACTTTTAAAATTTGTTTGTACATTTTACAGGCATGAATCGTGTTGCACTGGTAGAATGTACGATATGTTAATGAACTATCAATTCATGTACACTGCATATGAATTGCTTAAAGCATAAAATCTTGGTGAAGGGGATGGCTGTAAGGGGAGGTTTGAGTCCATCATCAGGTCTGATGTGTGAAATAGTTAATTCAGTTGGTCAGGGAAACTTTACATTTGACAGGAAAAAGACAAGGAAAAGTCAGGGAATTTAAGAAACCTCTTGCTGTGGCAACCATGAACACTTATCAAACGATTTAAAATTCAGCGTAAGGCCAAAGACATCATCAAAGTGACTCGTCGAAACATCTTTTGAATCAGCGTTTAAGTTTACCCTTAATAATTTTATGATTTGTAAAACTATAGCTGCACCAAGGCCTTGTATTGTCAAAGTGTCTGTGGAGGCGGACTCTGGAGAGCCATTGGGAGAAACAACTGTAGAATATATTGATGACCCAAGCATATATCCCATTGTATTGCGTCACTTGGCCAGTAAATTTGATGGAAGTAATGGCCATGCTCACAGTGATACAAGCTATTCAGCAAGTGGTGAGAGCCTTCGTGATAAAGGCAGTTCGGGAAATGGTGGTAAGTTACGTAATTAGCTACCTGCTTCATAACTAGCCTGAGAATACAGCCTACATTTCGCGACGCCTCCACTGGTATCCCCGCAAAATGACGGCTGAGAAACGAGCGCAGAAATGCCTCACTAGGGACGCCTGTGGGCGAAGGAGGAAGTGCCTTCCCTGCTAACATCTTGTATTATGTTAATAGGGGGCTTAAGCAACGACGACGGTGACGTCAACAAGAGCGTCATGAAAGCAATAGGTTTAGATTGGCAAAACAACAACTTTGCACGTGCATCACGCTTTTCTGTACATTTCTTTGCCGTCACTGCACGAATACGACGTGAAAATGCTTAATTTCACGTTTTGTGGAGGATGTGAACACAAGGCAACGACTTTCTTTATCTTCTTCTTTTTCCGGAACTTCGATAAAGTCTTTTAGAATTCAACTCCAGAAAAAATGCCAAGATTTGACGAATTGAATGAGATAGAATAAGCGCGATAAAATTTGAAGCAAGGCGACTTCATTGTTTATGTGACGTTTTCGTAGCCGTTGCCGTCGATGTTGCTTAAGCACCCCAATAACGGAGCTCTCGCGCACGCGAACTGACACAATGACAGCGGAGCACCATGGATAAGAAAATTTGTTTATCTATGTAGCCAAGAAATTTTAGTTCTAAAAAAATCGTCGGTAAGAACGTCCACCCCTTCATTTTAGCGGATGTGAAATGGCACACTTAAATACTAGCTAGGAGTCCAAGACATATACTATCTATGTAAAAAATAGTATTGGCCATCCATTTTTTAGTCAATTGACAGCTGTCAAAAGAGTATCCGCTGACCTGCGTCACATGACTGTATCACGGGCTCAGGTATACAACTCGTGGAAGTGACGTATCCGCTGACCAGTTTTTGGCTTTCAATTAATCGCAGGCTTAGGTCCATTTTTAAAAGTGGAATTCAGTTTGCTTTTGCTTACTGCAAAAGTTAATTTACTTGAGGAAGATATGTATTAAAACATCCATCGAGAGCTTCGCTTTTGACTTTGGCATTTTCACGTCGTAGTCGTGCAAACACGGGCAAATAAATGTACAAATGAGTGTGATGCACCTGCAAAGTTGTTGTTTTGCTTATAAAACTTATTTTTTTTGACGTTCTCGTTGCCGTCCGCGTTGGTGGATCTTAGGGCCTGTTTACATGGAGGTGAGGGAACCCCAGGTAGGTGAGATAACCCGCTTAGGTGGGGTAACCCGCCTGTCCACATAATCTCTCATATGTTCACCCCACCTATTATATAAACGTGATGAAATTAAAATGGGAGATTATATGGAACGGCGGGTTACGTACCCCACCAACCCGAGGTCCCCCAACTCCATGTAAACAGGCCCTTAAAGCCCCTATTGTAAAATAACACCGCAATGACTTATCAGTGTTAAAAATATACCAATGGAGATAGCTCGGTAGTTTTCAGTGTGAATTTTCCTGTTTTATTGTCGCTGTCAACCGAAAGCAAAAAGATCTACAAACACGTTTTAATGCTTGAAAAGACTAGAGCGAGACCGTTGTCCATAGCTCATTCTTATGCACTGAACGCGCGAGAAACCACTCTGTCATTACCCTACTACAGTTACTATTATACTACTTCCTCCTTTTCCACACATTTTACCATTACTGGGGCAAACGTTATTGTTCGTTATATAAAGGTTCGTTATGTGGAAGTCCCACACATAACGATGTCATCTGTATTGTACTTCTTCGGATATATAAGACCTAGTTTCTATGATCTTTCATAACATTTAACTCCTTCACTTAGGATTTACCCAACAGCTTCAGTCACTGCAGCATTTGGTCAATGCAGCGATAGCGAGTGGTGTTCAATGGTTTATTGAGCCGATACTTAAATCGTCGGCTGGAAGTATGTTACTCCATTGTTATAAGGAGAATTCACAATTACTAGAAGATATTGCCAGGAAAAATGGCCATGAGGAGACAGCAAAATTCCTTGACAACATAACTAAGAGGTAATCTTTAGAATTTCAACACTTTTACTTACTTGTAAACTATCTTCATAAGTTGTCCGAGATGCATTTTCATACTGAATTCACGCCTCAAAATGCAACTGCTATCCTTTCTATTAGAGCTTTATTCACCATTGCATGACAGAAAAAAAAAATGTTGCATACTGTTCTCTTCCCCCCGGGGGAGGTTACTGGGATTAATTTTTGCTGGGCATGTGCCGCTGGCTTTTCAGAACTCCTACCCTATTTTAGTTTATTCTGTGGCAATACTATAGACCCCATGTTTGTGAGTTGAGGAAAAAAGTAGTTTTCACAATCCCAACTTAACGACTTTCTGTTTATGCATCTATCTTTTAAAACTTTTTAACTTGGTCATCCTTAAACTTAATGTGGTGTAAATCTCTCTATTCTGAAATCCCCCAAAAAACTAAATTGTGTGACCCCGTGACCCCATTCTAGTAACTCTTATAAAAATGCAACCCCACGATAGTCAATCCGGTCGTAAAAATGCGGCACATACTCATTAGCCTACTATTAGGAAGTGTTCCCGGGGGAGGGGGGGGAGACGTTTTTCCCGGCTTTGTTTCCTCTCCTTACATTTAACACTAAGGGACCGTTCATTTTTTACCAGGTGGGGGGAAGGATAGCTGATGGAATTTGAGGGGGGGGGACCATGGGGGAGGTCACCAAAAAAAATCCTTCAAATTTTGCCACCAGAATGCCAAAAACTAGCGTTTCTGACATTCAGAAAGTTAAAATTTTCCCGGAGAAGCATGCCTCTGACCCCCTAGTTTATTCTGCGCCAAAAGGCAATTCTACCCCTCTAAAATCCAGCAAAGCTTAAAAGCATGTCAAATCCGATGTTTCATTAGAAAAAAACAACACTCAATCATTTTCATTTTTTCCTTTGTCCTCTCTCTCTTTCTTTCTTTCTTTCATTCTTTTTTTTTTTTTTTTTTTTTGGGGGGCAGTCATCTCTATTAATTTGGGATACAAGGGGTGCCGCCCCTCAAAAATACTTTTTTTGGGGGGGGGGGGGGGTCATCATATACTACAGGAGCTACCCGTCGAGTCCCACCAGCTCCCCATCCCCCATTAAAAATGAACGGTCCTTAACGTGCTCAATTAAATAAAAGTTTGATATACAAAATGGGTTCGAAGCCGCTGATCTTGCAATACTTCGCCTGTGTGTCATTAATACTGCTGAGACGACGAGAAAATGCATATATTTAACAAATAGATTGCATGTTGCGTCTGTTCAGTAATTGATCACAGGTGGCACACGAGCCAATGAACAGAAGAAAAAACGGCATACTTGCCTCGTACCGCTTAACTGTTTGAGGATTTGTCCCAGTTTAGCATTTTTTAAGCGACAAACGCTACTTTTCTTCTCTACTGCTTCTTCTGTTCTATCTCTTTCTTGTATACAATTTCTCCGTTAAGTTTTTCGACTTCTTCACCTGCTCAAAGCAGAATAATTGTGAAAACATTTTCAAAATTGCGAGTTTTTTCGTAACGATGACACACGATGGCAACTGTTGTGAAGATTTCAGTTCCAGTTTAGGCATTTTCAATTCGCCGAGAACTCTTTTAGTCGCGGTTCCTCCTTATTTCTTAATTGTAAACAGCTCCTGCTAAACTTTTCCAGAGTTTTTCACTTGCTTAATCCGAAATAACCTCGCAAACATAACCGCGCGCCATGTTGGAAGAACAAAGAAACCAAGTTTCTTGTGACGTCATCCGTGCGTCTGTACTCTAATAGTTCATGGGCAACGACCAATCACAGCGCGCGAAACATTGACTACATTGTATTCTGTCGCTGTGCTAATCCTCGCGAAACTCGGTTTGGTAACGGCACTCAAGTTAAGCCATGTCGGTCGGAGTTATGAACTGGATGGGTGACCTACCGCGAACATCGTCGTAAAGGTCCATACGTTGTTCTTTCTTTTCTTCTTCTTATTTTTTGCGTTTTGTGTGGTGTTATTGTTAAAAGTGTCTTGAAAAGCATATTTAACATTATTTCGGCCTCCGAATTTAGAAACAAACAAAACAAAGCACAAATGTGGCAGCGCAGTTCGACTGAAAATTGTTATACTTCGGACCGTGGTACAGAGCCGAAACTTTGCAGACTTTGATCTATATATCGGCGGGGAAACCGGCAAACTAATAAATTTGGGTTTTCCACAGTGGAAAACGATCATAATGTCTCTGATATTCCAATCTCCTGTTCCTCTTTTCCTCTGTCTCTTGTTGTCGGCGTTGCTCTCGCTGTGCTAAGCGATTTTCGGTCTGCTCGGCGGTTTCTTGTTGACGTCTTCTCATTCGTTGTTCACGCTGAATTTAAAGTCGGCGTTCTCGCTTCATAAAAGTCTCGGTGGAAAATCTTCCTGGGCGAGGATTTCGAGCCACTTGTTTACTTGTGTGTCACTTGCATGGGAAATTGTTCATGATTCACCGATAGTAAACATTGTTTGACAGATGATGAATAAACACAACAGCCTTTCACGAAGAATACATGCAAATGCGCCTTGGTCATCGGCGGCAAAGTCTATGTTGCCTGTAAACGCAAAATGCTCCATGACGTCATTGGCAGACACCAAGCATATATTCCAGGGCGGATAAAGGTTGGGCGGTGAAACGAGTGCTCCGCTCTTCATTTAATGTGTGATGCGGAGTAGGACTGGCACGAGCGCTCTTTCCGCGCTTCCGGTGCGCTTGAAGGCTGGCGAAATTTTCCTTTTTGCAAACCGAAAATCCTATTTTCTTTCTGTAATTTCAGGCTACAATGTTAAATAATAAATTCGTTTCATAACAATATCAATAAACAGTTTCATATGTTTGTGTCTGTATGCCTAAAGTCAAACTTGTTGGTCGAAGAATGCCAGAATTTGAGTTTAATTTGAAAGTGTTGAATACCTCCTCCTTCCACTCAATATCACCTAATCGTCTTTCGCCGTTTCGTTTGCAAAAGCCTAACACTTCTTAACCTCAATTTTTACATAATGTTAAAGGGGGATAAATTTTATATAGCATAACAAAAAATTAGATTGATATATTTTGATATAGTGGCGTTGTACTGCTTCAAACTTTGCTTCTCGGGTGCAACGCGCCATGGCGATTCGCGCAATGCGTCGCAAATCTGGCAACCGCATGTGAACAAAATTTATTGAGATTAGCTGTAAGGTTTTTTCTCCGTTTTTCTCTCTAAAACAAAACAAAGTAAACAGTAAAAACTGAGGGGAAACTAATTATGAAGTTTCGAAGAAACAGAAAGAAGTATGAGATCTTTTTTTTTCAAAATTAAAAAGAGGGATGATGGTGATTGAAATTAGCATAATATCACCTTGCACGTGCTGCACGAATTTATAAAATACACGTCATCTTGTTATGAAACACGATCTGTTTTCTTTTAGTTTTACCATGGATGACATGGATGAGATTTTCCTTCGTGTTTTAGACAGTACTTAGTTGTTTTTGTTTTGGAATAACATCGACATTGGCGAGTAGGAGAACGAAAATATAATTTAGTGGTAGAGTCATGGAAATAATAAGAGAAACCCTTTGAAAGAGATGTTTGTCTACTCCAGCTAAACCTCCAGCCAATAATAGGAACATTTGCCTCTCGGAGACGGCGTACCAGCACAAAGGAACGAGGAAGAAGTGCAAGAAAACAAATCAAGCCACCATAATTCAGTGACAGCGGCAGTGTCTAATGGACAAACCACATCGCAAGCCCTGACCGAAGTCGAAAACAAGCGACATTTCTAAGCAGAGTCCCAGTCCACTGCATCACACCTTTTTGCTCGGACGCTCTCGTTTCACCACCCAACCTTTATCCGCCCTGATATATTCATAGAGAGATTTATGGGCCATCGAACTTTCCAGCTGGCTAAAACCACGCGCGGCTAGCAGACTGATCGCGCGCTTCGCGCGCAACGAGATTATAAAGTCGCTACGCTCGGCGCGAAGCGCCTAGCTCTGCTCGGAAAAATGCATTTCGTATCTATCTCTGCAGGTTATCTGAGGAGACAGAATTTTTCCCGGAAGATTTCCAGAAAATTGACTGGTCAGAGCTTGTTTCTCTTGTTAAAAGAGCTCAAGAACAAAAGAAAGATGGTAAGATTTTTGTTTGTATTTTTCCTTTGTCTTTGCCTTTGTTTTGTCCCTTTTACTTTTACTGTGAAACTCACAAAACTGTGAACAACAACAATATTTCTGGAATGTGATTTTGCTGCAAGCAAAGTGCCAATCAGGTGTGCGGAAAACTAAGCAGCAATCAGCAACATTAATTAGTTTGTGCTTTTGTGGCTAGCTCCCATGTCCTGATCTTCTCTGTGATTGGTCATAACACAATAAACATTCCTACAGTATTTCAGGTGTTCACGGTTTTATTAGTTTGACAGTGAGATGTGTTTAAGTAGCTCAGTTAATACAGTTATAGTTTTAATAATATACATAAAACGTTTCTGAAAGCGAAACAGTTTTTAGTAAACACAGTGCAAAAACAAGGAAACATTGCAAAAATACGGAAATGAAATGCCAATATCTCAGTGAATGGAGCACTGTGATTGGCTGGTAAACAATTACCATAAATAAGAACCAATCAGTTGCCGCAGTTGTAAGTGGAAAAAAAGGTCAGCATACGAAGCCGATCTTAGTTCTTTCTCGATAGAGAAAAACACATTGAAAAATTGAAAATACTATTATCAAAAACGAAAGCACTGTCATGAGAACAGCATTTTCTATTAATATTTGGTAGAAATCGACGAAGGATTAAGGAATTTTCGAGCAAATTGTGAGTTACGAGCCTGCCAATCTCAACATACCGATCGAGCGCTACTACGCCAAAATTTGATTAAACAAACGATGGGCCTACTACGAGCCCGATTGTCTCAAAGTTATGATAACTGCTATAGACAATTCATCCATGATAACTGCTTTAGACAAGCAAAGTGTAAGGATATACCTGATCTCCTTGAACAAAGTTTTTGATGGTTAAGAGGCCAAACAACTTACTACGTCTTGCCGGCCGCGGATAGCGTCCAAACAAAAGGACGCTAACGAAAGAGTAATCATACGACGTTTCTTGTTGAATATGGAATTTATTTGCACTCAGGTGCTTTTTTTGAAATAATACTAATACAAAAAAAGTAAAATCTTTTAAATTTTCTCTGAAACCCATAAAGTAAAGAAATTTATTTACCCATAAAGTAAGAAATTATATCAGTGTACATACTGGGGTCAATTTAATAAAACTTCTTCTAGTGTAATTGACAAGTGTAGCCCTTTTTTCAGACTCTAAAACAATGGCTACACTTATAAATTACACTTGTAAAGAGTTTGATTACTGACGAATTATTCATTAATGTTTTTCGTTTGCAACAGGTATTGCTGTTGACCAAGAAAACTATCAGGCTGAGAGTGATTTGACCATTGATACAGGCTACTTTGGGGATGTCGAGACGTCTTCCGGTAATCTCTCACTTCAATCGAAGTCTGATTCTGATGATGACAACTCGGAAATATCTTGTGAAGGTATGACATAACTGTCCATATAATCAAACTGTTATTGAACGGTTTAGAATTCTGTTGTTGTTATTTCTTTCTTTGTTTGTTTTTAGCCATGGCTACCAAATGAAAATTTATGAGTGTTCTAGGTAAATGTGAATAAGAGGTTTTGATACAACTAAGATCAATTAATTTATTCCTAATCCATCTGATTTATTCAAATTGCTAAATTGCTGTAAGTAATTCTAATTTATTTGATCAAAAAGTTAAACGCTAAAAGATTTTTAAAATACATTAAAAATAAAACATTTTTAAAAAAGGGTGAACGACGTTTCGGCGCTACGTTGTGCCATTATCAAGTTGAAAAGTGAAAAAGTATAAGGTGTAAAACGAATATATAAGAATGCAAATGCGAAATACGAATACGTAAGAATGCAACAAGTTACGCACCATCTTTTCAAAGCTGCGCTATCCGAAAACATTGGTCGATTCCACTATAAATAAGTTCAGCCAGGAACCAGATAAAGAAATACACACCGTGCCTTCAGTAGACCCATCTGTTTACATAGTATTGCCCTTTAAAGATCAGCGATCAGCTGATCGCGTACGCAAAGATATCTATTCTCTGGGAGCCAAGATCGATGTTAACGTAAAACCCGTCTTTACAAGAACAAAACTGTCACAAACCCTGAGTGTCAAGGAAAACAAGCCCCCGATCGTCAACACTCAATGCGTTGTATACTTATTTCAACGTGATTTGTGCGATGCAAATTATGTCAGGTACACTGCCCGACACTTACATCAACGCATAAGTGAACACTGTTATTCAGCCATCGGGAAACACCTTGAAACACAGCATGGCAAGAACAGAACAAAGACTGACCATCTTTTCAAAGTTCTGAGGAAATGTGATAGTAAGTTTGATTGCTTAGTCTACGAGATATTATACATAAAGGACATCAAGCCTTCTCTTAACACGCAAGCCGACTCCATTCGCGCCAAACTGTTTACGTGACACTTTCGTACATTTTTTATTTTTATTTTTCTCTTATTGTGTTTCTTACCTTGGGAATTATACCCATTGGACCCGCAAATATTTTATGTATTGTTTCAAATTTTATATATTCGTTTTACACCTTATACTTTTTCACTTTTCAACTTGATAATGGCGTAACGTAGCGCCGAAACGTCGTTCACCCTTTTTTAAAAATGTTTTTTTAAATGTATTTTAAAAATCTTTAGCGTTTATCTTTTTGATCAAATCATTTTCGAAATCTCTCCAATTCTAATTTAAGACAGGTTTTGTCAGTAAAATGGTCTATACATTTAAATGGGGCATGTTACGCTGTTTTCTAGGGGCCGATTATTTAAACTAAGTTTAGACAGCGTTAATGAACATCATCGAGTAACCCAAGTTTAAACCATGAATACCGACAAGAGACTACAAAGGGAACAGAGAGGGCATCCCCATATACACTCTATTCCATAGGTAATTCGTCTAAGTTATTTTTAGAATTGGGATAAATTTACCTCGCGCGAGGCGTGGATGTTTCGTGGAGGTTTCGCATGACCAAACGCCGTGCAAAACATGTCGGGCGAGAGGCAATGAAAGCGTAAAAAGATCGAGAGCATTCCTGAATATTGAAGCGAAATGAGTCGGCGCTCACCTGGGAAAAAGGAATCGCTGGAATCTTTGACAACCCGTGAAATCAGTTTAACTCGAAGTTGTCGTAACCTCAGTGCTCTAACAAAATGAGAAATTTCGCCGGTCTGTTGAAACCGGTCGTTTGTGCAATTTAGGGAGTTTAAGATCCAACGACGCGGACGACAACTAGAACGTCAAAAAGCAATAGGTTTAATTAGCAAAACGACAACTTCGCACGTGCAACACACTTTTTTGTTCATTTCTTTCCCGTTTTTGCACGACTACGACGTGAAAATGCCTAATTTCGCGTTTTATGGAGGACGTAAATAAGCAACGACGAAATTTTATTTCTCTTTCTGAGCTTGAATATGGTCCCTTGAAATTCAGCTTTAGGATGGTTCGCCTACAATTGACAAAGTAAGTGGGTAGGAATAATCGCTATAAAGACTGAAAAAAATAAACGTCAAACCAGAAATTGCTCTCTTCAAACTGTAAATTATAAATGATCCTAGAGAATATTCAGTCTGTTAAGGATTTCCCTGCTCTACTGTTAGCTCTATACAAGAGAAGAAGGGCGATTCTTTTTTAATTTCGGTTTCGCTGACACAGCTTTCGCAGAAATCTCGCTGTAGTCGTTTTCGTCGACAAAAGGAATAGCAAAATCGCTCTCCGCGTCTTCCCCCATTTTGTTCTGCGTCATTTCGTGAAGGACGCGTGGCTCTCAGCGTGGGTCATCCACGCGGAACACATTCGCGCTATGTGATTGGCTGTTGTCTAATCCCCCTTGAGATCTATATCCATATATGGGGGATGCCCTCTCTGTCCCCTTTATAGTCTCTTGATACCGATTACTTGAACGTTGTTTTACCACAACGGTGTTTAGACAATGTCCAAACACCGACTAAGGAACAAAAGTAAGTTAGAGCTGCTCAAAGGTAGGTTTAAGAAAAGTTAAGAAACTGCGCCAATCGACGAAATATGCATACTCGACAAATTTGGCACCTTAGGGATGGATTTAGCCCTTCAGAAGAATGCGACGACGAAGACTTTCGATTTTGTTTTGGCCTTAGAAAGTACTCGGTCATTGACCTCGTAAAATTTTTGGATAAAGATCTTCAACGTCAAACAAGAAGAGGTCTGCCACTTACACAAATGCAGCAAGTGCTGATTACTTTGACATTCTATGCGACAGGAACTTTTCAGAGGGTTATTGACCATTTATTTGGTGTTTCTGTTTTTGCTGCATGCGCAGTCACCCACAAGGTTTCAAGGGCTATTGCGAAACAAAAAGGACAATTGCTGTCATTCCCAGAGAACCTACCTTGCGAGCAGTGGTTTCTCCAGGCCGGACGCTACGCTTCGATGGGAAAGAAACCACTGCGAGCAACCGTTTTGCTTTTCCATCGAGCATGCGCGTCAACGTGATGACTTCGAATATCCAACGACAAGACGGCAACGAGAACTTCAACAAAACAATAGGTTAAATAAGCAAAACAACAACTTTGCACGTGCATCATGCTTTTATTTTTGCATTTCTTTGCCATTTTTGCACGGCTACGACGTGAAGATGCCTAATTTTGCGTTTTATGGATAACGCAAACAAGCAACGACGAAATTTATTCTTCTTTTCGCTCTTGAACTTGGATATGGTCCCTTGGAATTCAACTCCATTTGGGTTTGCCTTCCTTTGACAAAGTAACTGAGTAGATAGGAATAAATAATCCAAAGAAATACTGAATATCCACAGCAGGCTCGCGTGAAGGCAGCAATTGTAAGCGTAAGCAAATGCGCGTGAGCCTAAACTTGCTTTCAAACAGGATTTACATGTTTAAAGTTAATTTATTCGTCCATAGTGCTGGACGGCGGCTCGATCAAAGAAGCAGACGGATGCTCGCAGTGGTTTCTTTCCCATCGAAGCGTAGCGTCCGGCCTAGAGAAACCACTGCTCGCAGGGTACAGAGATCCTGGCTGATACCAAGAGAAAGTTTTATGATGTTGCGTACTTTCTAGGTGTGATCGGGGCCATCGTTAGTTAAATTTCCTCCCATGCCTTTGTCTTTTTTTCCAACGTTTACTGTCATAGCCTTTGCTTTCCACCTCTAGAAAGTCTCTACCCAATTCGGCACATAAAATTATTTCTTGTTCACTGAAATTTGTTGTGCGACTTGGTTTAGAAGCCATATTGCAGAGACATAACCACTATCTGCAAATGTGCATACGAAATAACTCTGCAGACAATGCATTTCCTTGTGAGACATGGTTTAGCTATTGACTTAAAAAGAAACGTTTCAATAGCGGTCCAACAATGTATTTTAAAAACATCGTTTAGCCGTTGTTTATCGAAACAACTTCTAAACCGCGGCTCAGCTCTAACAAATGGTTAACTTAGACTTTGTTTAAATAATCGGCCCTATCTTTTTGACTTCCCATCAATTGCCAATTGAATTCCCGAATAACTTTACAATTTTGTAATTTTTAAAAAACTCAATATTGAGGCATTAAAACTGCTTCCTGCCGTCTGTTGCTGCGGATGGCAAAGATGGACGTGGATTTAAACTTAAAACTTTTTCAAGTTTTACTTTTCTCCCTGCAAAAATCTCCCAAAAAATATTATGGTTAGTTGTCTCTGTCTAAATTCGTTTGATATCTTCTTGGTAATTCTAAAATGGCATTGTGTATGGTTAAAGGGACTAACCAATGACTTCAGCACAGAATTGACCTAAAACAGCACTGACTATCCTCGTGACACACACCCTTTAAGTAGGAGCGTAGCGTCCATATACGGACATACGCCCCTGCGTACAGCTGAAATCTGGAATTTTTTTCTCAAATCGGGGTGACTATAAATTTTTCGCATTATATTGGTGTCTTTGTTTTAGTATTTCCTTTATGCCTTTAATTATTCCATAACGCTAGAAATGGTAAAATAAACAACTAACTGTTTCATTTCCCTTGTATTTATTAACTGAAAAAATCCCGTGGAAAAGAAAGGAAATGGCATTTCCGAGACCCCAAACTTAAATATTTCCTGGGGGAGCATGCCCCCCAACCCCCTAGTTTAGAACACTTATGCACTCTAACTTTTTTTTCTTTTCGTGCGTACACCTTGCAAATCTCAGGCTAAGCCCCTGTTAAGCACAGTGTATTTTAGTCCTTTGCGCCTGTTTCAAACATCACATTTCTTTGACCAATTTTAATCTCCACTTAACAGATTCTTTTGAAGAAGATGAAACTCAGGTGAAGACAGACGCTTTCGAAAAGTACAGTGATGAAAAAGCATACTCGTTCTCTCTTGATTTTTCAGATGTAAACTTTCCCACAGAAGGTATATGTATACTTCATAACGTGAAATCTAGATTTGCTGAAGAATGGTACTCCATTTGGCCAGCCTTGTTGTTTAAGTCATAACAAACTGACTATTTACCCCTTACCCAGAATCATGAAAAAAAAGTGTCTCATTAAGAAGAATATCCAAAAGTGTATGCGGGACCCACAGTGAATAAGACACGTTGTTTGAAATAAAGGTGCAACATACTAAAATTACATTTTAATCTTATTCTCTGAATTTTCTGCATTTAACAACGAGCATACACTGTTAATTTCGAAAAATTCTCCTTGAAGTTCTTCAGCTTCTTGCCCACCGAAAGTTAAAAGGAAAACTTTCAATCACATCGCAGAATTCCAAACATAAGCCCTCCGAATATAAGCCTCTCATTCCCGTCCATTTGTAACGAAAAACAAACCTCATATAGCCTCAATAAGCCCCTGTGGCCCTTTCTCGAAAGTCCGGGTAACTTTTCGTGTCCGAAATCAAATATTCAGTTGAAAATTTAAAGAAAAAAATCGTGGGTCCTTGTTTACAAAAGAGTCCATTTTGTTTTGTTAACTGGTAGTTAATGTTTGCTTTTTTTTTTGAGCCCCTTAAAAAAGCCTCGGAAAAGGGTCTTTTGAAAATATATACGCCCCGGCTTGTAATTTCGTAATAGTCCAATTTCGAGTTGGCTATGACCGCTGAATAAAGGAATTGAAGACGCGTTTATTACAGGCTTAGCCTCCATCTAAAGTAAATACCGTAAAATTCCGAAAATAAGCCCCTCCATGTATAAGCCCCACGAACCGGTAACGCAAAAAAGCCTCCGTTAAAGCGCCCCTCCAAATATAAGCCCCCCGGGTGCTTGTACTTGGAAAATTGCCCTCAAATATAAAGTATAATAAAGCAAAACCGGTAAATTTACTTCCAACTATATGGCTAGCCCAATCAATTTTGAAACGCAAATTTCCCTCCGTAGATAAGCCCCTCCGAATATAAGCCCCTCCAAAAATAAGCCCCTCAAAAAGGGCCTTTGAAAAATATAAGCCCCGGGGCTTATTTTCGGAATTTTACGGTATATTCACAACCAGAAGAAGACCTCTGTCTACACTTACTTGCGGAATTTGTGAATATTTTAATTTATGTCGAGGGTAACCCTGTACGAATGTGTCCTTAGTGTTTGTATTCAGAGGTAATTTTTCAGTCGAAGCTGGAGTATTTCACAGTTTATTGGCATTATTTTATTCAGTGTCATCGTTGATATTACGAACCTACAGTGAGAGTGTCAAGCTCCCTTTAATATAGGAAAAGGGAAACTTTTAAGGACATACACTGTACAGTTTCTGTAGCTACTTTTAATTGGTAAAAAGAAAATTGTTGACAGCACGCACTGGTGATCATCAGTATGCAAATTTATGACCACGTTTATATTCTCTGAATATGTCAACTACAAACACAGGAACAAACCTTGAACGATTCTGAGGTGTGCGCTATATGAAACTTTTTGACTACGAGTGGCTCATCGGACGAAATTGCCCGTCACACGCGAATGAGCAAAAAGAGAGAGTTAACAAGAGTCAAACCTTAGATGTTTGTACTTAACAAAAATTTGTGTTTTTCTTCTTTTTCTACAGGAATGACAAAAGAGGCGCTTTCCTGGTTGAAAAGTGTTAACACGATGGAGAATGCAAACAAGTACAAAGCTTTGCAACTCACATTTCACAGCCCCGTCACAGTCTTAAGTGGTTGTCTAATGTCTTTAAATGACGTAAATGGCAAAGAAAAACGTTACAAAAACGCAGGAATTTTGAAAGAAACCTTTCTTCTTAAAAGTTTGCAAGGTTTTCAGCAGGGGAAAAGTGTTTATCGAAATGGTATTTCTGTTCTTCTAAGGATCACTTCCGAGGATATACCTCGTCATCTAAGCACAATGCACGAAAGGTTGATAACCCGATTACAGTCAAACCAGCATCAAGCAGAAAAGACCACACAATGGCTTTCGGTGATTTTGCAGAGGATTCGGCTTAACCTAGCTAAAGATGGCTCAACCAGTATGGCCCAGACAACGGTTACGATGAAACGTAACTTTTTTCAAGGTGATTGTAAAATGAATTCTAGCTGAATACGTAGTTGAAGTGTTACATTGCTACATTACATTGAAGGATTATATCTTATATATATCTTTTATATCTAAGAGAATAGAAAAAGTCGTAAATTTGATATGAGCTTTCAGAGGCACTGAATAAAAAACTTGGATTTAGAAATCCATTATGTTTTTCATCGTGAAGCCCATTTTTCAGCCAGTAAACGAAGGAGCTTAAAGACGTTTCACTCATTATTTCTTGTATCATAACAAATGTCTGTTTTTATTGAGGATCTTATTGGTCGGAGTTTAGCTGTTGCTAATCATGTTTTCCATAAAAGATTAGCTGCCATTGATTGACCATGAAAAGTAATGGAGATGCCTACCTGTAGGCTGTGCTTTTCGTGATGTGTACTGAAAATTTGTATCACTAGTTATGTTCATAGTAAGTTTCTACTACCTATATATTGGCTTTGTTTAAACCTAATAAAGTACTGTTGTGCCCAGGTCTGGAGTCACCGCTGATTGATGGTGGCATATATATAGATGAAGATGAAGATTCAGTAATGAGAAGAAGACCATTCGATGAAGCAGTTCATCTTTGTTGTCCTTCAGCTTTTAAAATTTGGGTGCTAAAGTGCTTGTACCGCCCAACAAGGAAGACGCTTTTTATTTACGTGAGTTTTTCATAGCTTCTGTAAAGCATAAGTTTAGTGATGTAATGTGGAACAATCTTGTAGCTATGTTATTAACTAAAAGTGGAATGGAATATGTGTTAAGTAGGAACGACACCAGTTTCCAAATCAATTCCGTACTGAAAATTGTGAGATTTTGTGCAGGTGTTCAACCTTATATAACAAATCAATATCTGTTGTATGGAGATTTCATTTCCTTTACCATCCCACTAAATTTGCCGCCAATCATCTCGTCAAGAGCGCGGTTTCAATTAGAACAGGCGGAAACTACTGTTAAAAAAATGGGGACTATAAATTCAAGAGACAAGGAACAATATCTATTAAAAGTAAAAAAGTCATCAAATGTGAAGTGTTATAATTTTTAAGGTTGCGGACAGAAATGACGTTTCTCCCCCTGAGTCGTGGGTTGAAGATGAAGATTGCGAGCTTTGGATAGAGAGCTCGAACTGGAAGCGATGGAGTGACAATTCATTCATCGAACAAGTAAACAGAATACAGGAGCAGTCAGGTACTATAAAGTGGCCAAGTTCTGTCATAGTGGAACCTATTTTCCTTCATAAAACTCGTTATTCCATGGTGCATGTATAAAGAAAACGATTTTGTTTTAAAATGTATTTTTATTTGTTTGTATGTGTAAGTTTAAGTTTAATAATACACTGACTTGAACACTTTGATGCTATCTTAAAGGAGAGAAAGACTCTTCACTGATCAATAACCAACGTAAGGGAGAAAAAATAAATTTTACAGAAATATAAATCTTTAGACACTTTGAGTTTAGAAACCCAACCCTGCATTTGTTTCAACTCTCAACTAAGTATGAAGGTTCCTTTAATTTCGGAACAAAATGCTCAAGCGAAAACTGCCTGTAACAGAAGTCTGAATTCCATTGCATTAATCGCACCAAGGTGAGGCTCAGCCTGATTATGAAAGAGTATTATGGAATTTTTCAGAGAAACTTATAATATACAATAATATACAGTATTTATAGAGCGCTAATTCCCAATGGTCCAAAAGCGCTTATTAACAGGGGCACCCAACGAGAATATAGTTCAAAACCACTTAAACATAGCATTCTAAAACGTATTTTAGTATTGAAACGGTAGATATAGGCACATTTTTATCCCCTAAAGTTTTTTCATCTGTTCGGATTTCCTGGCTGAAAGTCTAGAGATCCGAAAATTGTAGGGATCAAAACTTACCTTTTCGAAAATTTCAGCCGGGAAAAAGGCTCCCGAAAATTCTAGGTGACCTTTTAAGGGTAAAAATCCGTTAAAAATGGGTAACTATAGTAGTTTTTAGATGTTCGAAAATCCTAGGAGAGGCAGGCAAGCCAAAAATTTTTACAACAAATGTTCCGAAAATTCTAGATCTCAAATCGTCTTCCGAACAGATATTTTTCCGAAAATTGTCGTTGGGTGCCCCTGTTATTAACCGATACTGAACCTTTTCACTTGTCTTCCAGACCCCTTAAAGCGGTTTTAGAACTGGCCTGCATCTTGTTTTTTTCCGTTTTGTTTTGTTTTTTTTTTTAAAGTGCGTTGTTAAAGCTCGTTTTATTAACATTTGTTTTTCCTTCGTGTGAATAACCAACACTGAATGACCTATCCTTAATTTGGCTTTCTGACATGGGTAACGTTCCTACAAGTCCTAACATGAAAGTATACAGGTAGGTCAGTTTGTACTAAAAACGTTTTTTTTTTTTATGTATGTTTAGTATTAGAGACTGCTAATCCGGTTGCTAAAGCATACAAGCAGCAACCAGTGGCAGAATTACAAGAACAGTTATCACATTTCAATTCAGTGCTTCAGCTAGAACAGATTGAGACCCTTGTCGAAAAAATGGAAAGATGGAGTCTGGATAATTCTGCGGACTCAAACTTGGTGGCTAAGCTGATGAAAACTGAGGGAAAAGTGTCAACAATACAAGAGAACATGACAGTAGAACCAGCAAGTGACCCAACACAAGTAGGTTTTGTACTACATCTTTTGTGCCTAATGTTTTGTGCTGGAAGATGATTCATGGCTTTTCATCTGATCAGTGGTAAAAAAACTGTTTACGGAAACGTCCAAGAAGTAGCAAATTTGTCTATATTAAGTCTAATATTCTAAGTTTCATCGATCTAACTTATATGTGAACAAACGATGTTTTAGTAAAATGGCTTATTCTATTCGGTGTAGCGTGGGTGGAGTGGAGTGGAGACCAAGAGGGATCAGTAGTGAGGGTAACACTTGACAGTTATAATGGGAGCTAAGTGATACACTTTTGGCCCTCCATTAATACAAAATCAATAAGATATTGATATCATTTTACAATGTTTCT